TGGGCAGGATGAAGTGCCAGCTAAGTTTCCTGGGGGATACTTGGGAATTGGCCATGGAAAACCAAAGCCCAAAAGAATTTTTCCTTTCCATGCAATCATCAATCATCCCGCTCTTGTCCTGATGCTCATCTGCAGGGTGAGACTTAAAAACATCAAGATGGCAGAGCTCTACTCATGCTAGAAAACATGATTGACATTTGGGGACGTCCCAAGGGTGGGAGTGTGGCCCGGGCAGACATGTTGGATCGCTGTCCCTACTGCTTGCCATCCTTGTACCTTTGGAACTGTCCAGGTCCAAGGCGAGAAGGGTGACAAGCCACCCTGCTCTGCTCAGGACTGACGGGCTACTGGGATGTGGGACACTGAGTCTCACTCAAAGCAGCAAAGTCCAAGCTGAGATAAGCCGGTCAGGGGTGGATGACGCCCCTGCTGCTTCCGAGCTGCTTTTCCTCATGCACCCTGGTCTTGGTGGTGCCTTTCCAAGTTTTAACCAGAGATGGGTAGAGGAGGGCTTTCTCCTGACCATGCAAAAGCTTCTGTGCCCTTATTATATACCAGACGCATTATTATAAATGATCTCTTCCAAAATAAGACAGTGAAAACTTAGTGGAATTTTTTTAAAATATATTTTTAAATTTTTAATTGACACACTGTAATTATATATATTTATGAGGTAGAATGTGGCATTTTGATCCATGTCTATGATGTATAATGATCAGATCACATAATTGGCACATCTATCACTTCAGAAAGTTATCATTTCGCTGTGTTGGGAACATTCAAAATCCTTTCTAGTAGCTATTTTGAAATAATTAATTGCTGCCAACCAGAGAGCCTACTGTGCTACACACGTTGGGAGCTATTTCTGCTATCCAGAAGCACTACGGTACCCACTCACCATCCTCTCTCCAGCCTTCCCTCTCCCATCCCCTTCCCAGGCTGACCATCACTACTCTCAACTTCTATGAGATCAACTTTTTGGCTTCCACAGACCAATGAGAAAATGCAGTATTAGCCTCTTGGTGCCTGACTTACTTCACTTAACATAATGTTCTCACTGAGGAACCATTAAAACTGTCTCCCAGGGGCTGAGGATTTAGCTCAGCGGCAAAAGTGCCTGCCTTGCCTGCAGGCAGTCGTGAGTTCGATCTCTGGTACCGATAAAAACGAAAAAGACAAAAAAAAAAAAAAAACAAAACTGTCTCCCAAGCCAGGGAGGCTCAGACAGGGACCCAGCCGCTGCCTTTCCTGACCTGAAGAAACAAATCTATCTCTGAGGAAACAGTGCAAGAGCTAACCTGAGCTTGCTAGGACCCTTAAAATCAATCTACTTTCTACTTAATCAGTGCCCAGCCCAGTGCCCATGAATCCAGCCAAACCACTCAACGCTGCAAGGCCCAGAAGCCTCTGTGCTCACACAGGCCAACAGCTACTCTCATCTGCCTCCTTCAGTGATCTCATTGAACCTGTGGCTTTCAGGGTCATTTGTAGGCTGGCCACTTCCAAATTCATAGCCCAGCCCTCCTCCACCCTTCCCTATAGCTCACAGCACACAGATGTTCTCAACGCCTGACCGCACCAGGGCTTCTCCTCTACACCAGACCCCCTAGGCTCCCTCCCCTTGAGGTGGCATCACTAGCCAGCTGAGCTCAGGCCCAAGCAGATACTTCTCTCCTCTCACTGCCCGCCTCGGGCCATCAGCTAGTCTCAGCTCTGACTACAGCAGGCTCCCTGCCCTTCCAAACTTTCCGAGCGTCCATATCATGCCAGCCCAGCTGTCATCTCCCACTGGAGACCACAGCAGCCTCTGGCTTCCCTCCTGCCTCTCCTGGTCCAGACATTAGGAAAGTCCTTTAAAAAAAGTTTTCTTTTCTTTTTTTTTTTTTTTTTTTTTTTTTTTATTGGTACCGGGGATCGAACTAAAAAAAAAGTTTTCTTGTAATGTCATTTGTGTGCCACAAAAATCAACCCATTTAAAGTGTACAATTAGAGGAGTGGGTTTTTTTTTTTTTCAGTATATTCACAGTTGCATAATCATCAACATAATCTCATTTTAGGACATTTTATCTCCCAGAAATTTGAGCCAGGATGGTTGGCACATTTTTGTCATCCCAGCACTCTGGGAGACTGAGACAGAAGGATTACAAATTTGAGCCCAGTTCCCGACACACAGTAGGTGCTTTGTTGAGACCCACCTGGTCCAGACATGCATATGCTATTCCTGCCATGCTACTGGAAGCCTCAGTTTCTTCAAGTGACCAAATGCTGGTCTCATCACCAGCTGCCGAGATGTTGGGGTTCTATTTGGGGAAAATCACCTCCTTCTCCAGAGCCTGAGATCAGAACAAAAACACAAACAGTGCCAAAAGGCCTTCTCACTGGCTCCTTGCCGTGAGTCAGAATGGAAAACTGGCGAGCAGCGCCCCCTGCAGGAGCGAGGATCTGCTGGGTGAGTCTCCTCTGGGAAGCGAGGAAGCAAGAGGAGGCTCCTGGAGGGCAGGCAGAGGTGCCTGTACATGGAGGAGGCAAGGTTCGACACAGAGACCCCAGGGCTGCTTACTGTGGTGCAGCCAGGCCAGGCCCTCCCTCCTGCCCGGGGCACAATGTGGCCAGCACTGTTTACCAACACCCTCTGTGCAGCAAGGAGCAGAGTGAAATCAGGACTCCTGCACCTCCCAACAGAAGCAGGGGTCCCAGCAGCCTGCAGGGCGTCATGTGGCCCTATCAGAAGAGACAATGTCTGTCTTCTGGTGACTCCTTTTGTCTCAAAGGTAAAGTCCAGGTGTCTCTCTAGCTGGCCAGAGCCCAAGCCTGTCCTTCCCACCTCCTTCTCTCCTTCCTGCTCTGCAGGCTCCCTGCTGGCATCCTCTGCAGTAGCCCACAGCTACTCCACCAGGCTTTGTGCCACTGGACCTTTGCCTCTGCTGTCCCCACCTCCTAGAATTCTCTTCCCCACAGGCTGGGACTGGTGACTTCCTGCATGCAATGCTCTGGGCAGCCTCTCCTGAGCCGTGCTCACAGAGTGCTCACCCCAGGGAAGGCATGCAGGACTTGTCCGATGCACAGACCCTGTTGTATTTGTTCTGCCATTTACATACCGGACTGAACAGACTGTTTATCGAAATCCTAGCTAAATGTATTGATGAATGAATGTGTTCCCTGCTAACCTGAGAGGTCCCCAAAGATACGTATAACATGTCATGTGCCTTATAGTTTCCACTTGCAGCGAGTTCCCAGTGCCACCCTTGTCCCTACTGAGAGAGAAATAAGGTGCCCAAGAGATCCTTCAGAGCCACCCCTGGCCACAACATCCCTGCTGGTCCATTCTCTCCAGACCTTGTGCTGCCCAGGCTCTGGGTTGGAGATGAGTCTTTTTGGAAAGGGCGCCTGCCAAGGGAACCAGGCTCTGCTTTACTGCCAGGGCCCAAAGCTGCCGTCTCCTCAGAGCTAGCTGAAGATCCACCCACCGGCCAACGCTCCCCGAGCCAAGTCTCTTAACCCCTGCCCCACTTCCCCCACTCCGAGAGGTGTGCCCTCCCCACATACCCTACAAACCACAGTAACGCATCCCTTCAGCTTTGGGCTGCAGAGACCAGTGAGGTGACTGTGGCTTTAACAACAAGCAAGTGCAGTAACTAAAAGTAATCTGGCAAAGAAAACTCCCCTCGCTTATTTTCCAGGGACCTTGGTTCATCAATCTTCTCCTTCTACCCTGCTTTATGCTCTGTTAATTTTGCTTCCTGATAGAACAGAATTTGGTTTTCTAGTAGCATCTGTGCTGTGCACGCTGTCTCCAAACATTAGCAATAATGAGTTGGAAGTGGTGCAACTGGCAGACTCAGGAAGCCAAAACCAGATGTCAGGCCCTCGGTGGGACTGAGGTTGTGGGGCCAGAGCACTGGGCCAGGGCTAGGTCAGGCCCACAGCCCCGGAGTCCCTGGAAGCCACTTCTCCAGGAGACACTGTGGAATGGCCATTGTGTGCCAGGCCCTGTGTGGATGCTGGGAGGTCAGAAGCCTGACGGCACGGCACAGGCATGACAGGTTACGAAGGACAGAAGCGGCAGCAGAGGCAAGCCCCAGTCTGCACCAGGCCCTGATAAGCCCAGGGAACGGCAAGAGTTCTGGGCTCACACAGACTCAGGTGCCCAATCTCACACTCCTCAATTGAGAAAGCAGCAGGCAACCCTTTCCTCACTTGGTGGCCTGAGAACAACATGAGATAACACTGCAAGTCTGGCACACAGTAGAGCCTTGAAATCTATTGGCTCCCTCTGGCTTCTCAGACCTGACAGCAGCATCCACACTGACAGCAGGCTGAGATCGCCAAGGGGCACTCAGCTGCTCACTCCCCTGGGCTAAGTTCTTGTCCAGAGGTTTCCCAGCTACAGCCTTCTCTGGGGAGACAGCAGACACAGCTGCCCCTCAAGTTCAGAAGACAATGAGGCAGGAACCAGGGCTCCTGGGGATGGACACGCAGGAAAAATACCTCCTCTGCCTCCATTCCCAAGGCCCTCCTCCGAGCTGCCAAGCCCTCTCCAAACAGACACTCCTGTGGCATGCCAGGCCAGCAGAGGACAGTGCAGGTAACTCACAGAGGTCTGGCCACCTGCAGGGTGGCCACAGGTTCCACCCCAAGAACAGTGTCTGCTCTGCACCTCCCATGCAGGAGGACCCTTGCCCTATGGGAAGGTACCAGGGCTTCTCCACCCTAGACCCCCACCCCGGCGTGCCCAGTGATGAAGCCGCACAGCTGGCCTCCAATTGGACCAGAAAGGACCAGAGTCTGGACTTCCTTTTCAGTTTCCTCCCCTTCTTGATGCCTGCAGAAGTTGCAGAAATAGTTGAGATTAAAGTACCATGCAACTTCTTGAAGCCCACCGGCTTCTTGCAACAAAGGACCCGAAGCCTCGGTGGCCCTGGTGAAACTGCAGCCTCCCCAGCTTGGCTGCAGCGCCTTCTTTGTTCCGTGTCCGGGTCACAGCCTGCAGCGGGGACACGGGGACTGGCGCAGGCGTGAGAGGATGTGGGCCAGGAAGAGGCGCGGGGAAGGGAAAGGGGCCTGCGGAGCCGCACGTCCAGACGCCAGGGGGCCAGATCCGGCCCCTCGGCCGCCGTGCCCGCCTCTCCCTCCGCCCCTGCCGCCGCCCCGCCGGGACCCGTTAGTCGGCGGAGCTGCTGCCATGGGCCGGACGCGGGCCGGGGAACGCGGGCAGCCCGGCTCCGGCCCCAGCGGCCCTGCAGTCCCCGCCTCGCCGCCCCGCCGCCGCGCGCGCGCCCTGGCGCTGCTCGGAGCCCTGCTGGCCGCCGTGCTCGCCGCCGTCGCCGCCCGGGTCTACACCCACTTCGTCCAGGCCCAGGCGGCCGCGCAGCAGGTCCGGGACGCGGGGATGGGCAGAGGGAAGCAAGGGACGATGGGCAGGACGCGGGGAGGGGAAAGGACTGGCCAGAGCACAGCAGGACTAGCCGGACTGGAGGGGCCACGGAGAGGGACGCCTTGGTTGGTGACCCTAAACAGAGGCGCAGAGTGGGGCTGGGACTACAGAGCCTGGTCCTGGGCTGGTAGTGCAGGGAGGGGCAGCAGGAGGGGACCGTGGCGGGCCTGGCTGAAGCAGGGCCCCGGAATGAGGATGGACGCAGACTGGGAGGGGGACCTGGATAATGGACCATCCAAGAAGGCACAGCGTGGGGCAGGGGCCAGCAGTGACCCGGAAGGGGATGGGGGCTCTGGGGCTACTCAGAAGTGACATTTGGACAAATGGGAAAGTAAGGGGAGAACTCACAGGGTAAAGGAGCTGCTCCATCAGCCGCCTGTTTGGGTCAGGGAGCATCCAATGGGAGCCCAGCCCAGACCTTCTCCCCAGCAGGAATCTGCGCTGAAGGCCCTGGGCACAGAAGGCCTGTTTCTCTTCTCTTCACTGGACACTGACCAGGATATGCGCCTCAGTCCCGAAGAGTTCAAACCCATCGCAGAGAAGCTGACAGGTACAGAGAGACGGGGCTGACTGGGAAGAAGGGGTCTGCAGAGAGGGCAGCCTGCAGTGGAGCAGGACCCCCGGGACCCAGTCTCCCTAGCCCTGACTTACTGGCAGGTGGCTGGAAAACTTTCCAGACACTTCAGCACCCCACCTTGCCTTCTTCTTGCTTACAGTAGTAACACTAGTTAGTATGCACTGACCGAGGACGCTTAGGGCTGCATAGCACATTAGCATTTCCGATGGGTTCTCTGTTTAAACCTTGCCACAGCCCTGAGAGGCAGACATTAGTGAGCCTGATGGCTGTGCTTTGGGAGACCAGGGGCAGGTTCATTCATTTGCCCAAGTTAAGAAGCTAGAGAGCCAAGTTAGACCCGGGTTCCAGGGCCCAGCACAGCCACAGGCATGAGGAGGAAAGGAGCCATGTGCAGCATGACCAGACTGCAGTAGGTAGTTCCTAAACAGGGCCTGTAACTGTTTTTACCGGTCCAAAAGTCTGCTTAGCTGCTGTCCATTGCTATCCACTTTGCCTACTTGTGATAATTGATTTTTTTTTTTTTTGGTAAAGATGAGAAGCTAGAACATTCTAGAATTATAAGCTGGTTCTCTCACTCCGCCACCCTCTCAAGTTCTGTGTCCATTTCCATCCAACCTCTTGTGACCTCCCTCAAACTTGTGATCTTGGCACACGATGACTCTCTAGCTTGCCTAGTGGAAGTCGGTCAGTAGATGGGACAGAGGAGGAGAGAGATGCCGACACCAGAGTATCGTGTGGACTTTTTGTGTTTTGGGGATGGGCAGGAGACTGGTCACCTGCTGGCTTAGTGGCCTCTACCACTGCTGGATGAGAAGATCAGATGAAAATGTGGATTTGCTGCAGCAGCTGTGTATCCCTGTGTCTCGGGAGGGCAGTTCTGTCATAAAAGCGGATGGGCGGCTGAACAGGTTGCATCCTCTGGCTCTGCCTCTTCCTCTGACTCTGTGTATGCTTCTCTGAGCATCTGCACAGCCACCTCCTGACCTTTTCTGTGACCAGAGAGCCAGTGTTCCCTCATAGTGACATGTTAGCAAAGTGGGTGGGCTTATGACACTTTTAATGTTTTCATCTAAATCTGTATCAAGAGAGAAGAATCCTTCCATTGCCTCTAGTCTGTGAATGCAAAAATTGGACCATATTTTGGGAAGTCGGAAAGCAAAAAAATAAGCAACTAAATAAGCAAACAAAATCAAGCCATAAATAGAGGCACACAGTTTTCTCTTGCTGATGGTTATGCATGTGTTTAATGTTCTGCTTCATATTTTAAGATTCTTACAAAGGGGGCTGGGGATTTAGCTCAGCGGCATAAGCGCCTGCCTTGCAAGCAGGCAGTCGTGAGTTCGATCCCTGGTAACGGTAAAAACGAAAAAGACAAAAAAAGATTCTTACAAAATCTACAGCGATACAATTATAAATGTTCCTTATAATTCAGAAAATAACATTTTTATTTAAAAAAAAAAAAGCAAAGGATTAGCAAAGCTGGAGTTCTTTTTGTTATTGTTTTTGCAATGCTGGGCTAGAACTCTGGGCCATATGCATGATAGACAAGTGCTCTACCACTGAGCTACATCCCCAGATTTTTTCTTTTTTAAAGAGATGCGTTCTCATTTTGCTGTGTAGACTGGCCTGAGTCTTCTGGGCTCAAGTGCTCCTCCTGCCTCAGCCTCCCAAGTAGTTGGGACTATAGGCATGTACTCCACTGCACCTGGCTAACCTGAGCATTATTCTTCATAATTATCTGTGATACTAGTAAAATAATTAAATAAGCAAAGCAGACTAATAACCCTGCATTTTCTTTTCTTTTTTTTGTCTTTTTCCTTTTTATCGGTACCAGGGATCGAACTCACAACTGCCTGCTTGCAGGCAGGCGCTTATGCCGCTGAGCTAAATCCCCAACCCCAACCCTGCATTTTCTTTCTGCCCCTTTCTGCTCAAGTTTCCAGATCACTGAGAATGTTTGACTGCATTGACTTTTAAATACAGAAGAAATAGTGAGTTTTAGGGCAGGGATTTGCATCCAGAGTGGCGGGCTGTTTCCTGGTTCCTACCTTCAGGTTCTGCCTCAGTAGATTCTGGGATGGTATCGGGCCATCTGCGTTTGAAGAGCATCCGGGGTGCCTCAGATGACTCCTAATGGAGAGCTGTTTTGAATGCACCCATTCAGCCTGCACTCTTATAGCCTGCCAGCTGGTCCCCAAGGCCACCAAGTGCCAGGCAGGGCTGTGTGGCTGGAACCTGCCCTGGGAGAGCACATTGGACTAGCCCTGCCTGCTTCACTGGAAGAGGTGTCTCTTAGTCATCCCTTTTGAAATGGGCATCCTTCCTCTCTTAATCCTCCTGACGACCCAAAGATGACACCCTTGGCAGCTGCCTGAGCAGGAGATCTGAGGAATCTCATTTGTCCCCTGCCAGCCCAACCCGCCTTATGCAGAAGGGAGCAGGCCACCAGGGGAACAGGAGAAGCAGGTCCCGTCACCCCACATCAGTGCTCTTCCAGTGACACCAAGACACCTGTTTCTCTTTTTCACTTTAGTTCTTCACTCCCCTTCCTTTGACTGAGCCCCTCACAGTCCCCCAACACCCGAAAGCAGGTTATGACTCATTGGAGGTTCAATACAAAGCAGGCCTGGGTTTCAGTGCTGACTCCCCCGATACATAGCTGTGTGACTCTGGCGAAATGACTTGGAACCTCTGCTTTCTCGGGTGTAAAATAGAGTTAGTAATAGTGTAATAATCAACCACCTCTATAATGTAGTACGCATTGCTTGTTGCTCTGGTGATTGTTAACTGTTATCCTAGCTCTGAGCCTGGCTCCCTTATCCACCAGCCAGTGGGGACATCCTGAGAGAAGTGAGGGCCCACAGCCGGAGGGCAGGGCCTCTGCAGCCATCTGTATCTCACAGGGTCAACACTCACAGCCAGCTATGAGGAGGAGGAGCTGCCCCTCAACCCCAGTGAAGAGACCCTCACCATAGAAGCCCGATTCCAGCCTCTGCTCCCGGAGACCATGACGAAGAGCAAAGATGGGTTCCTAGGGGTGAGTGGGGACAGGGTGGCCCCACAGACACCTGGTGTGCTGCATTCTGAAGATGGGACTGTGCTCTCTTCCTCTGCCCCCTCTGTGTGCCACTGTGCCAGGTGTTGGAGTGCAAGAGTGTGGAGCATCCCTGTTTTCCAGGTCCACAGACCGGGCTGAGGTAGACAAAAGCAGTACCCCCCTCTAGGTGGAGGAGTCTGGGCCAGCTTCCTGGAGGGAGTACCATCTGGCAGAGATCACCACGGGAGGGGGAGGGGCAGGGGTGAAGTCATGCCCTGGTAATGCAGCTGCCCACTAGCGGTGATGCCGGCACATGCCTATCTCCCCAGGCCTCTAGCAGCTGCCTAGCACTGGCAGGTACTCTGCTGAACTCTAGTGAAGTAGAATTAGTGAGGCCCTGCCAGGGAAAAAGGGGTGAGGAGCAGGAAGAGGTAGCCACAGGCTAGGGTCACCAGCCTCCAAGGCCTGGTGGGTGTGCATGGTGGCCACTGGTCCAGATGAGGACCGTAGGAGGGGAATACATCTAGGGTGTGGGGTGAGGGTTCCAGTTTGGACACAATGAAGTTGAGATGCCAGGGGACAGGGTGTAGGGGGAGGTTAGAAATTGTTAGGTGCTCAAATTTGACCTTCCACAGAAAGCTGTGGGCTGGAGGTGGATTTGGTGTGCTGGGCTTTTTTAGCAGATGAGCCCTGACAGAGTGGTGAGAAAGGAGTGGGACAGGCACCCGAGTCACACTTGCACTCCCAGAGGAGATGGAGCAGGGGCAGGAGATGGAGCAGGGGCAGGAGATGGAGCAGGGGCAGGCAGCACGTTCTCCGTTCTCCGACAGACAGCTCCTCAAGTCTGGCCAGCCTGTGACAGTCCTAGTCCTGCTTTGCAGACCTGCCTGTCAACTCCCACTAGGTGGGAGCTCCTTATACATCTGCCACCTCCCCCAAGCCTGGCCAGCCTGTGACAGTCCCAGTCCTGCTCTGCAGACTTGCCTGTCAATCCCACTAGGTGGGAGCTCCTTATGCATCTGCCACCTCCCACTGAGCCTGGCTCATGCCGCTGTGGAGGTCCAAAAGAGAGAGAGGGGACCTGCTCATCAAAGAAAGGGCAGCTCCCTGGTGGCTAAGCTCCCCTAAGGGTGCCAGGCACTCCCTGTCCAGGTACTCACTGGCTGGCTGATGCATGGGAGGAACACAGCTCCCAGGCCTGCACCCCATAAGGACAGGGAGGAGCTGTGGTGGGGTTATTACAGGGGCCCTTCTGCTCCAGGGTCCCTCCTCTGAGTGCCAGGCACTATGCCAGCTGCTTCCCTCCCACCACAAGCTCAGAGGAAATGGGCTTAGAGAAGGTCTTGGTGTAGGGTGCCCAGACAGAGTGGGGAAGGTGACTCTCAAGATGGGGCCCCGTCTGAGGGTGACCTCCTTCCCCTTCCCTGTGGTCTCATCCTGCTTTTGATTCAAAATTTTACCCATAAGATGCTAACTCACTCCTACCATCAGACTCAGCACCAAACACAAATTCTGTCCATGGGACATTAGCTGCTGGGGAGAGCTGGGGGATTGAAGAGTGGAAAGCCAGGCTGATGGAGTCTCAAGGTGGCCTAGAGCAGGTGCTGGCAGCTGGGCTTGGTCTATGCAGAGAATGGGGATGGGATCCGTGTAGGATCCCGAGCTTTATCACCCTGGTCCTCCTGTCCTGAACAGACCCTCCAGCTGTCACAGCTCTTTGTCTTAGACCAAGCTGGCCTGGGCTGGGCCTGGGTGGACCATGGGGCCATTCCTTCTCCTGCTGAGGCCTAGGAGGGTGAGATGAGCCTTTCTCATCTTGATCGGGACAGGGCCAAACTGATGGCTGTCACTAGGACAGGGACCTCCCTGGGTTCTCCTTACTCTGTTGGCCTGTGGTCTGGTTCAAGGCTTGAGGGAGACCTGCACCCCCGATGGGAACAGGAGCCCCATAGCCATGGCCGCTCCCAGTGTCGCAGTCTGGGCTTTCCCTGCCCCAGGTCTCCCGCCTCGCCCTATCTGGCCTCCGCAACTGGACGACTGCAGCTTCACCCAGCGCAGTGTTCGCTGCCCGCCACTTCCGGCCCTTCCTTCCCCCTCAAGGCCAGGAGCTGGGCGAGCCGTGGTGGATCATCCCCAGTGAGCTGAGTGTCTTCACCGGGTATTTGTCTAACAACCGCTTCTACCCGCCACCGCCCAAGGGCAAGGAGGTAAGGGACCTGGCTCTCCCAGCCAGAAGTAGCCCCCTCCCCATGTGTTCCTGGACCCCAGGGCCAGGCCTGGCCCACCTGCTCTCCTGCCTCCCTCTGGACCTTTCCTCAGGTCCCCAGAGTCCAGAGCTGACTTCACCCAGCAGGTTCAGGCACAGAGGGCCTAACTAGGGAGCCTCGTCCCCACTGTGTCCCCCAGGTCATCATCCACCGGCTCCTGAGCATGTTCCACCCTCGGCCCTTCGTGAAGACCCGCTTTGCACCTCAGGGGGCTGTGGCCTGCCTTACCGCTGTCAGCGACTCCTACTACACTGTGATGTTCCGGTGAGAGGTCCTCGAAGTGGCCAGAGACTTCAGTGGCAGCTTGGGAGGTGCAGTGCAGGCAGGGGAGGGCCTGCCTGAGGGCCCCAGCTCCACCACTCCCACCCTGTGCCACTGGCTCTCTGAGCATCTGGTCCATCCTCTGTGCATCAGGGTCGTGATGACTCTCAGAGGGCACATGAGGATCCGGTGAGAAGCATCTGGAACTTGCTTAGCTTGGAGAAGCCGAGGGAGGTCGGGATGGGTCGAGGCAGAGCTACCTGAGAAGACAGCATGCCAACTGGCCCCCAAACATGGCTACTCTTGGGGCCACACCTTCTCTGTGCCCCGCATGCTCCTCTCTGTCCTCCTGTCCTGTCTCCTGCCCCACAGCAGTCTGTTCAGGTTGGGAGCAGAGGGATGAGGGCTTTGGCTTAACTGACCCAATTGCCACAGGATCCACGCCGAGTTCCAGCTCAGCGAGCCCCCTGACTTCCCCTTCTGGTTCTCCCCGGGCCAGTTCACTGGCCACATCATCCTGTCAAAAGATGCTACCCACATCCGCGACTTCCGGCTCTTCGTGCCCAATCACAGGTGGGAGCTGGCCCTGGCCAAGCACAGCACCCTGCTACAGCTTTCATATTCTGGCTGCAGGAGCTCACTAGCAGCGAGGCCCAGAGACACTTCAGCCCCTGCCTCTTCCTTTGCTCCCCAGAGCCAGCTCTGGGGAGGGGCCTGGCCCTGGGGCTCAGGAGGAGAGAACAAGAGGTGGGCTGAGGGCGGCACAGGATCATACCGAAAGCATTTCCCAGGGACCCACTGGGCCCGACCCTCCACCTCTGCACAGGGACACGGTGCAGCAGACCCTCCCTAAAGCCAATGCCTCCCACCTTCCTGTGCTGATGGGCCCCAGGCAGACCTGAGACTGGAAGGTGGCAGGAGGGCAGAGCTGGTGGGGGCCTAGACAGGCTTCCCAGAGGAGATAACATCTCCACAGAGACTTGAGGGAAGAAAGGGTTTTAGGCAGAGGGAACAGCATGTGCATAGAGAACCTCCACAGAGCCTTCGCAGAGCTTCTAAGACAGGTCTCTATCTGCCACCTGACTGTCTGCCTCACCTGCTCGGGGTCGGTCCTCTGTCAGCAGTACGGTGGACTAGGGCACCTGGCTTTACAAGCTTCCTCCGTATGCACTCATCACAGCTAATGTGATCACTGTTCCATAGGTGACACCAAGTAGTCACCTAGCAGGCCTGTGTGACATCTGTACCCTGAGAGCCAGGAGGCCTGTATTTAAGTCTTGGCCATGGCACAAATGTGCTGTGTGGCTGTGGTTAAGGCCCCAGCCCTCTCTGGGCCTCAGGTTTCTCATCTGCTAACCGGAGGCTGACTCCTGGCCTCTTTCACCTGCAGAGCCGGAGCGAGGGAGTGTTTGGAGAGCCTGGGAAAAGCAGGCTCCCTAAGTGTGGGAGTGGCTTCAGCTTCATTCTCCCCTGAGAGAAGCAGGCAGGGACAGGACGAGCTGGCCAAAGGGAAAATGAGGAAGCACAGTTCCACTCCAGCATCCCCTAATAAGGAGCATCTCCCTTGGGCCTCAGCCCAGCCCACCTGGGTTGTTGAGGTGAGGGGTTCTAGTCTGGATGAGACAGAAGGGCAAGTGACCAGCCAGCCCAGGCAGCTGCTCCCAGGCCACAGGGATGGCCGGCTGCCTTCAGGGCATCCAGCTCACCTGACACCTGCAGCCCAGGTGGCTGCTAGTCAATCCTGGGGTGCCCCCATGTGGCGTAACTGCACATTGCACTAATCAGACCATCCGCAGTGAAAAGAGTGGGTTGGCTTCTGCGCTGTGTTATGCCTGGTTTTCCCTCCATGTCCCAAAGGGTCATGGGCACACATTCTGTGTGTGCACTTGTGAACAGCCCCAGGCTGGGCCAGTGGCTGTTGTTGCAGTGTCTCAGGAGGGGGCAGCGTGGGATGGGCGGAGCTTCAGCATCTTCATCTGACAGATGGAACAGTGATCACATTAGCTGTGGGAAAGGCACACATGGGTGCGGGCTTTGATGCAGCTGCTGCACTGCCCTGGCCTCCCCAGGTCTCTGAATGTGGACATGGAGTGGCTATACGGGGCCAGTGAGAGCAGCAGCATGGAGGTGGACATCGGCTACATACCCCAGGTGAGCCCACAGCAGCACCCTGCCCCTGGGCCTCCGTATCCCCACCTCTCCCATGAGTAGAGCATCCTTCAAGGTCTCTCAGATCCCATCTTTGAGACACCCCTCACCACTGACCTCTGGCCCAGATGGAGCTGGAGGCTACAGGACCCTCTGTGCCCTCTGTGATCCTGGATGAAGATGGCAATATGATTGACAGTCGCCTGCCCTCGGGGGAGCCCCTCCAGTTTGTGTTTGAGGAGATCAGGTGGCAGCAGGAGCTGAGCTGGGAGGAGGCTGCCCGGCGCCTGGAAGTGGCCATGTATCCGTTCAAGAAGGTGAGGCAGGGCTGGGGAAGGCCGGGGCTTGACCCTATGGGTTGAGGCTGGGAGCACTGCAGTAGCTGGGGGTGCCAACACTGGAGCATGTATAGGGCTGGCTGGGTCAAGGGTGCTGCCAGTGTGCCACTGTGACTGCAGAGGAGCTGTCAGTTCAGGCACATTCGTCAGCAACACACACACACACCAACATGCACACAAACATACGTACTTACATGTACACAGACTCACATATATATGTATACTCAGCCTCTAAAGAGGACCCCAGACGCACACAGTAGCTAAGATCTGTCTACCTCAGGTCACCTACCTGCCATTCATTGAGGCCTTCGACCGAGCCAAGGCCGAAAACAAGCTGGTGCACTCGATCCTGCTGTGGGGGGCCCTGGACGACCAGTCCTGCTGAGGTGAGGGAAATTTATGGCTTCTAAGGGGAAAAAAGGGGAACTTCACACTTTGTGGGCACAGGAGGCTAGCAATGAATGGGACCTTCCTGGGGGAGCCACAGAGCAGGGGTTGAGGTCCTGAAGGGTCCTGTGCAAAGCTCAGAGAACTAGGTAAAGAAAAAGGGGCCCTGGGGGCTGGAGGTTTAGCTCAGCAGCATAAGCGCCTGCCTTGCAAGCAGGCAGTCGTGAGTTCGATCCCCGGTACCGATAAAAAGGAAAAAGACCAAAAAAAAAAAAAAAAGAAAGAAAGAAAAAGGGGCCCTGGCAGATTGGGTTCAGACTCAACCATTTTCAACTTGCTGACTTTGACCAAGTGACTCTGCTCCCTAAGCCTATCGCGTAGCAATGACAGGGGACTCACATTCTTATCTCCCAGAGTTGTGAAAGTGCCCTGCAAAGTGATGGGCTTGTGTTTCTTATTCAGAAAATTCACCAAACACCTGCTGGATGCAAAATTCTTTGGGTGTCCAGCAGTGGGTTCAGAGATGAACAAAACAGTGCCCCCGTCTTCATCTGGTCCTTCACAAACATTCTGGGTGCCCGCTGTACCAGCCAGTAGGCTGGACACTGGCATTTCCCAGAGTGGGACAGAGGCAGATGCAGAGTAAGTGAGTCCCAGCATGGACAGTAGAATGTAAGGCAAGGCCCAGTGCGGCATGAGAGTTTGTAGCTGGGGTCAGGGAAAGCTTCTTGGAGAATGTGACATTTAAGCTGAGACTTTGAAGGCTGTGTAGGAGTTTGTCACCCAATAGGAAAAAGAGTTCTGAGTAATCTGCATACAGAGGAACAGAGTTCAGTGGATTTAAGAAGCTGTCACTAAGAGTCCCTGGACCAGGTAGAAGCCCCACACTGAGTATCAGCCCAGGAAGCTGGTGTGTAATTTGAATCTGTTATTCCACCCGGGTTCAGGGACCATTCTGTAGCACATGAGTTTTCCCCAAACCAAGACCACTGCTTATGGGAAGCCACATAGACATGTAGGTCCCCTCACCCTCTGGGTCACCTCATCTTCTGGCCTTGGCCTCTCCCTGCACAGGTTCGGGGCGGACTCTCCGGGAGACTGTCCTGGAAAGTTCGCCCATCCTCACCCTTCTCAATGAGAGCTTCATCAGCACTTGGTCCCTAGTGAAGGAGCTGGAGGACCTGCAGGTGAGTGGACGGGGACAGCCCCCAAGGGCCTCTGGGACAATGCTGGGGTCGGAGGTATGAGGAGTGTGCTGACTGTCCCTACAGAGCAACCAGGAGAACCCGTCCCTCCGGCAGCTGGCAGGCCTGCACCTGGAGAAGTACAGCTTCCCCGTGGAGATGATGATCTGCCTGCCCAATGGCACTGTGGTAGGCACCTCAGGATGGGGACAGACAGCAGGTTCCTCTGGTTAACCCCAGGATAGCTTAGGAATGCCACTGCAGGTGTTGGGTCATGCCCCCTAGAAGCAGAACCCCAGGGTCACTCTGGGGACCACACGGTAGCAGGGTCAGTGCGACTCCAAGTGTAACAGATTGCTCAGTGGACAAAAGCATGGCCTGGAAGGGAGGCTTTCCTGGGACCATTACAGCCACCCTGGATTGGCAGGAGGGAGGCAGAGAGAAGCCTGGGGAGGGAGGAGGCTGGCTGCAGCTGCGCTTCCAGACCTTCCTCTCCTGAGGAGTCCTTTTCCCTGCCTCACCCACATCCTCTCACTGGGCCCTCCCAACAGCTTCAAGAGATGGTGATCATTGATGCCCATTTTGCGTACAAGGAAAGTGAGGCTCAAAGGATTCAGAGGGGCAAGGGATTTAGGTCAGCAGCATACGCGCCTGCCTGGCAGGTGCTAGGTCATGAGTTCTATGCCTGGTACCAAAACACAAAAGGATTCAGAGACTTGGCAGGCAGAGGTGCAGCTGGCTTTGCGGTTGGCCTGCCTGAGCCTCAGAACCTCCAGGTCACACAAGGAAGCCAGCCCTGCCCCATAATCCCAAGGGGTGGCTGGCATGGGACTCAGGGCCACCAGGAGGGCAGCTGCTGCCTCTGGATCTTAGACTGGGAGCAGTGCAGGAGCCGGAGCAGGAGCTGGCCGGGGTGGCTGAGACATTTAGGGAGAGCTTGGGGAGAGGAAAGGCAGCAGGCGGGAGGCTTCTACCGTCCCAGGTGCAGAGGGATGAAAAATAGGCCCTGGAGGTATGGAGAACTGGGGAGCAGAGGCAAGGGGGAGACCCGGCAGTGCACAGCTGTCACTGGCTCCTGCCCTGGGGTGCCTGCACAGGCCAGGGCTCTGCCTGTGGGACTCCATCTAGTGTGCTTCTCTCACTCATCTGTTGGTTTTTCATCCATCCGTTCCCTCACTCACTTGTTCAGTTTCCAGGCAACCATTCAGTTTTCTGTACAGAAACAGAGACTTTGCCCTCAAGGCAGCCAGTGACTGGAGCAAAGGTGGATAGGGAAAGGGGCCATCATGTACTGGACGTTGATAGAAGTGAGTATGGAGTTCGGAGATCCCAGCAACTGAGAGGAGAGCAGCCATTGTGAGGAACAGGGATAGGGGAAAAGGTGACCCTGAAAGATGTTAGGTTTCTGCCCGGTACACAGGGTGGGGAGGAGCCCTGTGTGAGTAGGGGCAGAACAGCCCGGCTTGGGTCAGGTTCTGGCAAATGCCTCCCCGAGCGAGGATTGTGGGGGCCTGAGAGAGCTCCTTCTCCTCAGACAGTGAGCCTGGGGCCTCCCTGGCTCTCCTCACCCAGCCCTTCTCCCAGGTCCATCACATCAACGCCAACTACTTCCTGGACATCACCTCCATGAAGCCTGAGGACATCAAAGACAACATCTTCAGCTTCTCGTCCACCTTTGAAGACCCGTCCACAGCCACTTACATGCAGTTCCTAAAGGAGGGACTCCGGCGTGGCCTGCCGCTACTTGAGTCCTAGTATGTCACCAGGCCACTGGGCTCGGGGCTGGATGGTCCTCCGCCATCTCAGACTGGAGCAGCTCCTGATGCCTCCTCACCCTTAGCTGCCTTGCGGGATCCAAGGTCAACTGAGGGTGGTCACCCTGCTCTGCCTCAATGATTGGAGGCTGACAGAAAGGGCTTGGACTGATGGAGGATAAACCGTGAGCTCTGTGGCCTCCAAGTCCTTCCCTACTCAGCTGGCTCTGACTTTAACTCTTTCTAGAAGGAAGCATTAAGGAAGCAACCAGGGGGCCCAGGGGCCCAGCAGCTCTTCCGTCTACATAGAGCCATTCTTGCTAACCATACCCCAGCTGCACTCCTCTGTCTGGTGCCCCCAACCAGGGTCAATCGCAGCGGGTGACAGCCTTCTGAGGCCTGTGTGCAGAGCAGCTGCTCATTGGGCCTTGTGCTGGATGGGGTGCCCCTGTTTGGGGGCCTGGGAAGTCTTCCAGAATGTAGGCTTCTGCCATAAGGAAGAATGGGCCCTGAGGGCCAGGGCCAAGGTTCTCAAGCCACCTGCCCTAGCAGAGGTCATAGTAGGACTGTGGGAGCCAGAGCATCCTGACACCTCCTTCTCCTCAGTCCCTCCCTCCATGGAAGTACAGCGCGGCCAAAGAACAGCCTGTACCAGAGCCAGCACTGTCCCCGCCACCAGGGGCACCCCAGACCAGCTTGTCCACCACGGGACACCTGCCAACTCTCTTTGGCCACTCTTGGGGCCTTCATCCATGTCCTGAGCCACTGACCACAGCCAGTCTCTTTTTTATACATGCAGAAATGCGTTTTTATGTGAACTTTCTCAAGGTTTGTAGGTATATTTTTATAGCCGCAGTACTGAGGAGAAAGAAGAGAATAATGATTCCCTGAGCAGCAGCCCCATGATGGCTGGATCCGAAATCCTAGATGGATCTAGCTTGATGCCTTTGCAGTTGCACTTATGGGAAGCAGTAGTCTCTCTTCCATCTCCTTCTAGATTTTTAAAAACAGTTTTCAGAGAATGAGTGTACCATACCCCCAGCTCTACCCTGACCACATAGGCCCAGAAGGTATCTTTGGGCTTTTCCCGTGAAAGCCTTGAAGTTGGCCTGTCCTTCACATGCCTGACTCTTCCCCATCCCTTCACCTTAAACCTGACAGAGGAAGAGGGCAGACTTGTCCCTGCATCTACTGCATCCCCCAGCCATCCTGGGTGTCCCCACGTGCAGTCTGCCTTGGCTAGTTCATTGAATACTAAGTATAACAATAGCAGGTTCCCAAGAGCCTTCTGTGCCTCGGGCGTTTTGCTAAAATAACAAGTAGTTTCTCATTTAATCCCAACAAACTTGTGAAGTAGGTGACTATTTCCATTTTGCAAGTAAAGAAATGAGTCTTAGGGAGACAAAGTGACCAAGGTCACTCAGAGTGCTAGGGCTGAGAATCAAACTCATATGTAACACCCAGGCCTGTGTCTTGTTTGGGGGTGTTTTATTTGGCATCACACCCCCACCTCTCTCCTTGTCTGTTTTCTCTAAGGTGGAAATCATGCCTCATTGCCCTCTGAGCTCCATACGACCTGAGCCCTTGAGTTCAGTCATTCTTTGTGCCCTGGGAGATGGAACTTCCTGTCCCTTACAGGGAAAGAGGCCACCAAAGTCTGTCTCAGTGCCTCTACTATGGGGCTGGAGCCTCCCAGCCTCCCTGCTCCTGGAGGACTGGCTCCACATCAGTCAGTCCTGGGCCACAGTAAAGCCCTGACTACTGAGCTTTCTGAATCTTCATCTGATGCCTCTGCCCATCCCCAGCCAGGGAACAGTCCCCAGCTGCTCTTTGGTCACGTCTCTGCCACTTCCTTCCCCCCAATTCTTAACATGTCCTATAATAAAATTGGAGAGACTAGGGCGGCTCTCAGTGTTTTTCCTTTGAACAGTGTGTTCAGTTTGTTTCTTCCTTGGCCTGGCTTCCTACCTTTTTATGACTGGCTTGGCAGTTGGACAGAGAAGAATGTGGCTGGGGTGTCTTCAGGGTCTATCTTGGCTGTCACCAGAGGACTTGAGTGACTTGCCTAAAATAAGTTTGCAACAGACCTAGTAATAGAATTTATCCTTTTGAGAATCTGGTGCCATGTGTCTAGAAAGATCCAGAAGTTAAGCCCATTGTCTAGGAAGTAGAGTTTGAGAAAAGCATTGGGTGATTTTGAGAAGTGCACTTTAGGAAAGATTTACAAAAGCATTGAAGCAGAAGAGGGAAAGGAAAAACTGGGCCAAGACTGAGTTTCAAAGCCTAGCAATAACCTGATCCACAGGAAAGGGCTCTAGAGCATAAACCACTCAACAATCAGACCAGCCTTTCATACCTTGTATTGGTCAATGGCTCCATTCTCCTTGTTGCAAGAGGACTTAAATGGGACATAGACACAAACAACATCTATACCCAGGAGAGTGGATTTGTAGTCTCTGCTATCGCCCAGGAAGGGGAAGTGATGATTAAAGCACAGTTTGCCATTCCAAAGAGCTAGATCTGGAAATCAGCCCTCATTTTTTGAATATGGTAGGGCTTGATGACCTGAACTGTAGATCTCTGGCTCAGGCCAGTTACCTAGATTGTAGGACCCACTGTGAAATAAAAGTACAATGAAAGACCCCTGTTTTAAAAAATATATAATAGTGTTTTTTATTAATGCTGGACATACCACATATGACAGTAGTTCCCTAAGATTATAAGAGAGCTAAAAATTTCTAATCTCTTAGTACTTTTACTGTACCTTTTCTATTTATATGTACAAATACTTACCATTGTTAAATTGCCCACAGTATTTGGTACCATACTGTGCAACCTTGTAATCTGGAGCAATCAATGGATAATAGGCTATACCACCTAAGTTTGTGTGAGTACACTCTGCGATGTTCATACAGCAGCATCAGCCGAGGATGCATTTCTCAGAGTGTATTGCAGTTATGAGGCATGCATGACTGTAATTTAAAAAGGACAACAGCTGGGCAGTAAACCAAGTATGGAATTCTGGGCATGGGGCCTGTTGTAACTACACAGATAGTTCATCTAGGATGCCAGCTGTCCTTGGTGGATAAGGACTGCAGGCTGAGAGCCAAACACGCTATGTGCTGAGGGCAGAGGAGGAAATGCCTTAAAATGCCATGGAGACAGGACGGTGAAGGTTTCAGCGCAGTGAGTGGGCTTGTGAACTTGGAAAGAATGTGGATCTTCCCAGTATCATCTAACCCTTTAATCAGCAACTGAATATACTGTGCGGTGGCGGGTGGATGGCTGAAGGCTAAAATAGAAGAGAGCTATGAAGCGCTAGAGGGCATGAGTCATAGTCTTGCTGAGAGTTCAGGGAGAGCCTTGGTTGCGGAGCCAGGAAGACAGGCAGGCGACATAAACGCCAGATTCGGAAAATGGTCAGTACATATTTGCATAGGGGTGAGGACAGCACCTCTATGTTATGGCTGAGCAGCAATACAAACTTCAGCTTCAGCTACAGCAACCAGGAAGCGTGGACAGCGGCGTGACACGACGAATCTGGTCTCAGGGATCTCCAGGCACTTTCAGCCCTCTTTTCCCAGCACCCAGACTGGCATGGGGGCGTGGCATCGAGGGAGGGCGTGTCTTTCCGTCCCGCCCCTCAGCCGCGTCCGCCTTCGGAGGGCGCTCGGTGCGCAGCTGCAGAAAATCGCTTCCGGGGAGGGGGCGGGTCAGCGGAAGTGAGGGCAGCAGAGGCCGGGCCTCCCGCTGTGGTAGGAGGGGCCGTGAGGTGAGGGAGTCCGGGAGTCGGAGTCTGAGGTGAGCAAGGTCCGAGGGCCTTCCGTTAGGCGGGAGCGCGCGTTGCGCGCCCGGCAGCACGCGGAGCTCGTTGCGCAGCGCTGTGCGGAGCCCGCGGCTCCTGTCCCCGTGCAAGTTCTTGAGGGACCCCGCTGTTGTCGTCCTCGTTTGGCCGGGGGAAACTGAGTCGAGGTGTGTTAGCGGGACCGAGATACACTAGACGTTTCTCGCGGCGGCCGCGCTCCGTGACAGGTTGCCTTGCGTCTCCTCGCTGTGACCCGCGCCGGCCGGGGCTCCCGCGCGTCCACCCCTGGGCCTGAGGGTGCAGAGGGCCGCTGGCAGGCGGCGGGGACTTGGCCGACCTTGGCCCGCCTCGGGACGGCGTCGCGGGGGACGGTCGCCTAAGGGCACTGTCCCGTGCTAGGCTGCAGGGCCCTTGTCGGGGGCTGTCACGCACGGCCCGCGCGGACGCTGCCCGCGGGTGCGCTCGTAAAGTTTCGCAGAGTACCGCGGCCTCGGCGAGGTGCCTGGCTCAAGGCAGCGAGACGAGGTCCTGCTCCGGAGCAGCTTGCGTCTCCATCGCTCGGGAGACCGCGCGTGGATGCGTGGAACTGCCGCCGCAGAAGGGGTCGGGGCAGGGCCGAGCCCCCGACAGGACCCGGAGCCCACTTGGCGCGGTGACATGTGGGGCGGGGTTCGGCGCGAAGTTAAGTCTTCGTTCCTCCTCCCTGAATTCCTCGGATGCTCTAGCGCGGACCGGCCGGCGCGGTGCTGTGCGCGGGAGGAGTCTCGGCCTCCAGGCCAGCCAGGCGTTACGAGTTACTTAGTTTCTGTGTTGAACGGTCTCCCAAGGGGGGACGGTACCAAGAGTCGCGGGGTGGCGCGTGAATAGAGCTCTGATGAGAAATGAAGGATGAGCCTGTGGACAGGGGCTCCGGTGTTTCCCGCAGAGGCGGTAATTGAGATAAGAACTTGAGGTGCCGTGTGTTGAGGGCTGGTAAGAGGACAGTGTGACAAGAGGGCAGAGGGCAAAGGAGATGGAGGCCGTGCGGATGTGAAGCCAGACTATGGGCCTTGTCACTTGCCGGGAGCTTGCTCTAGAGTGGGAAGGGAGAATGGGATTGGCCATCGGAGAGACTCCTTTGGCCCATACTCAGGAGTCCAGATTTTATCTTGTTGGCCCTAGCAAGCCAGTTTTGAATACAGGAGCCATATGATTAACAGGGTGTTTTGAAAGATACTGTCAGGCAGTCCCCAGAGGGTTAGGCCCAGCTGAGTCTTTGGAGGGGAGGCAGAGGAGTGGCGGAACAGCACTGTTAAGTGAACTCCTAGGCACTGACATTCAGCACAGAGCCTGGCACACTAGGGGTCTTCGATAAAGGGCCTGCAGAGAACTGAAAAGATAGAGCCTGTGCCAGAGGCTGCAGAATCTGGACCTGACTTTTGGTGCTTTCTTTACTGTATGACCGCTGAGGGATCTTAAACTCTTCTCTCTCCACCTTCCTTTTCCTTTTTCATAAAATGACCCCTCTTCTCCTGAGGTAGAAGAGGAACACTCCAAGAGAGGTCTCCAGAGAGCTGTCAGTCCAGTCGCAGGCTCCCCAGGGACTTTTCACCAGTGTTCCTTGCCCCCCTGAGTTGACAGCCCAGTCTACCTTTGCCTGCTTTCGCAGGGGCAGTCTTCTGCCCCTTTACAGATCCACTGTGCTGCACTGTGCTCATCCTGCTGTTTTCTTACCTTCCTGCTCCCTCTGAATTCCCCATGGGACCGGGCCATTGAACATAACTTGGCCACATGCCTAGGGTACCTTATTCTCAGTGTCTAGGTCCTGTCTCTCTGCTGGACTGTGAGTTTCTTGAAAGCATGACAGTGTCTCGCTCCTTTCATAGCCCCTATAATACCCAGCACAAGGCCTGGCACTAAAGTATTGTTGGAGTTTGAGAGAAAAGGCTATGTGTGAGTTCACTGATTACATTTGCTTACCATGCAAGGATAGCTATAAAGAGTGCAGTCAGGAGTGACTCCATCATATTTTAAATTTCATTAAACACCTTAAAATACCCCATTTCATTGACCCTTAAGGTAACCTAGAGTGGCAGCTTTTCTTGTCTCCTTTTTATAGATGGAGGAACCAACATTCAGAAAGGTTACTTGCCTATGGTCACAAAAGCCAGTTGGCTAAGCCAGGGGAAAGAGAGGGTAGGAGGGAAATTGGCTCTTGTGGTTTAGTAGGCAGATTGGCATGAGCTAGCTGTTGATTTTTACCCCTTGTAGGGGCCCAGCACTGCTAGGCTGGATGGCAAATACTGTGGTTTTGTGTCTCATTTTCAAGGAACACAGGGCTTTGATGGTACCTTTAGTTTGGCTCTCTCATGAGCTTTGTAGCTACCAAGAGTTCTGCCTCTCTCTTTGTCTCTATGTGTGTGTGCATGCATGTGTTTCCACTGTCTTCCCTGCCTCTTTTTTGCAATACTGGGGAGGAACCCAAGTAGTCACACTAGGCTGCATCTCCAGCCCTTTTTTATTCTTTATTTTGAAAGAGAGTCTCAGTAAATTGTCCAAGATGGGCTGTAACTTGTGATCCTCCTGCTTCAGCTTCCTAGGGTGCTAGCATTATAGACCTGTACTGTTATGCCTTATTTTTTTGAAGTTATGCCTCAGGAAACCTTAGAACACTTGAAGTATCCCCAGGTTGGCCAAGCTTACCCAGCAAGTCTAGAAAGAACATAACCTGGATAAGTCAGTATTGAGGGCCATCAGAGGTCTCCAGAGGCTGGTTTTGTGGGTTTGTGTGTTAGCTACTGAGTCCCCACTGTGGGGCTTGTTTCACAGGAAGGGAAATCTGCTGTTCCTCAAGATGGCCTGATAAGAATTCCCACCTTCGGCCTCCTCAAGGTGTCCTGAGGCTGCCTTGTCCTTCAAGTGCAGGAGCCAGCTGAAGTTTCAGGAATGGAAGCCAATGTGGTAAGGGGTAATCCCAGGGCTGGGGTAAAGAATGTGGGGATCATTGAGCACTGGGCCTGCTGAAGTGCTATACAAGGCCCTGAGGTTCCAGTTAATTCTTTTATTCCTCTGGAACCCTGGTATTGGAGCAAGGCTCTCCTTCTACCTCCTGTCC